TAAACAATAAAGATTTTTTTAAAAAGATACAATGCGATCAACTTCCTGGTAGAGCTAAGCACTGAACAGATTGGAAACACATAGCAGAGAACAGCTACTTAACTTTCTTGGCTTGGCTCCCTTTTCCCTCCTAAATTTCAAGTCATTCCCCTCTCTGTGTGTCAAATGATGGGTCCCATATTCCTTTGAGTCAATAAAATAATCACCACATGGAGTGGACTATTATTTTACCTCCCTAAAACTCTGAAAGTTCAAATTGATAAGTCTGTTATATATCACCTTTTTAGTTACTTTACTTCCCTACCAACTTTTATAAGTAATAAAAAAAACTACAAGCCTACAAATAATTTTTTATAGCAAGGAATTTAACAAATACAATATAAAGGTGCAAACAAACACAACACCAAATCTTTTTTTCTGAAATTTCTTATTTTACTTTTATTTTCTTTGACTTTTCTATCTTAAAATCAGAACTTATATTTACTCTTTAAAAGCTAGTACTCATAGGCTTTGACGTTAGGGTCTCTTCTCCTCTGAAACATCATAACAGGTATTTTCTTTACTGAAACTTGTCACTTGACCACTATGCTTATAGGAGCTGATACTTATGAATAAACACAATTTAAGTTGCCATGACCAATAGATCACAGAGGAGGCCTGGCTTTGGAGTTTCATCTGCCTTTTCTGAACAGATTAATGGAAGCGCCTTCCCCTGGAGTCAGAACCAGAACATTCACACTCACCTTTATATGAACCATACTCAGGGTGACTGTATAATTTACCATGCAAATTAGGTCACTTTGCCAGTGAAGGAGGGTGCTATTAATAATTGCTAGTATTCTGGAAAAACAGGTGTAAACCAGGTCATCCGGGGTAAACCTCGATGAATGTTTATCCTGTGTATGAAAAATCGTTTATATTCATCAATTGACTTGCTAGGGGTCTGGTGCAAACACGGTGCTCCTCCAGAGGACTGGTGACGGGGCTGTCAATCAGCTATGTCCCCATGACAGGAGAATCGAGTTGCAAATTTTCAGAGCCGCCACTATCGATTTCTTGGCAGGTTATAAAGCTCTGCTTCTCTCTATAAAAGGATCCAGTTAATTATTTATTTTTTATGATTAGAAATGTATTTCAGAGCACTATCTGGTGGTGCATAGGAAAAGATAGGAATGAATGTCAAATTAACTCATTTTTGTGTATTTATATTTCAAAATTATACAGAAAGATTATAGTATACTATAAATATACCAAAAATAGATAAATTTTGTATGTCTCTATTATTGTAGCCTACTTACTGTATTCATTAGGCTACTTTCCATTAAATCTTTAGCCATTTTATAAATCAGTTTTAATAATAGTCAAGTGCTACCTGTTATTTTTCATATAACATTAATTGCATCATATGAATAAATCATAATTTACTTAAACATAGTCATAATGTTTAAAATATGCCTGCCACAGATAATACTGTGATAAGCATCTTTATATGTGATGGTTTTCTGTATCATTTATTTTGTTTTATTTTTTTCCACCACCATTTATCCCCTCTAATCCTCTTCTACCTCCATCCCCCCTTTCCTCTAGATCACCTCACTGTTGCCCATGTCCATGAATTATGTATCATTTTATTAGTTTTTCCTTTATTACAAAAATAAGCTAGTTTAGATCATGAATGTAATGTTATTTGTCTCTGTATTTCAGCACACACCACATTTGTAGTATATAATATTTCTCCATATGTGAATTACAGTATTGGATTGGATATGTACACACGTTAGATAGTCTTTCTTAACAGAGAGGGTGTGTGATTCCTTGAGATCATTATTTTAACTTCTCGGAACTCAAAGGCAGAGACAAGGCATCCTACCCACGCACAATCCTAATGTACTTCAAATTACTTATCATCATTGATGCACGTGTTTATGAATTAGAAAATTCCAAATCCAACCACCCTGATTTGTATAATAAAGATAAAATGAAATTATATTGTGCAAACTTCAAAGGAAAGAGGAAACAAGTCTTCAAACTAAATCAATATTGTTTTAAATCCTGGCTATGTTATTTCATAGTGTACGTCCTTGGAAATCTATAAACCCAATTTACATCTGTAAAATAGAAATACTAATATTTTCTTCAATACATTACTCTGGAGTAAATTATATAACATGTGGAAGGAACTTAGTACATAGTTTCTGAAACATGGCAGGCACTTAATGATGCATTATATGCATTCAGTAGCAGGTAATAACAGCAATACATCAATCTTTAAAATAAATAATTAGTAAATTAAAATATTCAAGAACTTAAATGTAAATGATAAGATTATGTGCATTCAAATTATTTAAAGAAGTCCTTGAACATGTGTAGAATTTCTCAGAATATTACTTAAAATCATAATTGTTTTCCCTGAATAGTTTGAAGACTCACTCATTCAACATATATAAATGCTACAAATATCTTTCAGTCTGTGAAAGACATTGAGATGTCAGATATGTTATATTAACTATTTTAGAAATGATGACAAGTACTCTTTAATCATCAAAATATTACTAATATGATATTCAAGGTAATTAATGAATAGATTGAAGATAATTCTAAAAGTTTGGAAAGAAGATGTGGAAAAGTTAACCTCGCCGAAACTGGTTTGGCTCAGTGGATAGAGCGTCGGCCTGCGGACTGAAAGGTCCCAGGTTCGATTCCGATCAAGGGCATGTACCTGGGTTGCGGGCACATCCCCAGTAGGGAGATGTGCAGGAGGCAGCTGATCAATGTTTCTCTCTCATCAATGTTTCTAACTCTCTATCTCTCTCTCTTCCTCTCTGTAAAAAATCAATAAAATATATTTTTTTTTAAAAAAAGAAAAGTTAACCTCAATAAATGTTTTCCTGTTATTGCCAAAAATGAAGAAAGATAGCTTTGTACTATCATTGAGGTCAATTTTCATATTACCTCTGAGCTAGCTGGGAAAAGGGAATATAAATCACTATGAGCATGTACTTTCTGGAATACAAGGATGTTGATACTGTAAAAACTACAAATGTGTGAAAGGAAATCGTACTACTATACCAGTAGTATATACTTTTTTAAGTTAAATATGTCACAACAATTAATATAAATGAGCACTTCAAAATTCTGTTAACTAAATGCACCCTAATAGTTTACATAGGAATAAAATTTGTATACTGTAGTAATAAACTACCCCCAAATCTCAACACTAATTGTTTATTTCTTGTTTAGTCTATATGTTCATTGCGTGTTAACTGTGGCTCTGTCCATGTTACCTTCCCTCCAAGAGTGAAGTAATAGAGTAGCCTCTGTCAGTATGGCTAGTCTTCTGGTAGAAGGACAAGAGCTATATGGTGAATCATGAACTTACATTAAGCCTCCTGCTCAGTAGTGACACATATCACATATTTTTCATTAGTCAAAGCAAATCACAGGCCACACAAGTTCAGTGAGACAGGGGTGTATAATCCTCTTGCAAGAAGGAGCATTTTAAGCCTAAGTTAGAAGTAAGTGGAGTGGAAAGTATAATTCTCTGACAGGAAGGAGAGGAGAAATATTGAGAATAATAACGCACTCCATTATCTATTGATAATGACTATCAGTAGGTTTATTGTGTAGATCAAATGAGATAGTAAATAATATAAACTTAAGTTTTAATTTCTAATGCTAATTTATACTCATTAAGGATGAAGAGGGTGAATGTTAACTAAACTTATTTTGGTAATCATTTTTTCAATATACACATATATTATATCATTATGTTATATACCTTCAACTTACACAATATTCTATGTCAATTATATCTGAATAAAACTGGACTTTTAAAAAATATAAATGTGGGAGCTGCATTAGATAAGATTAGATCCAAAGCAAAATAGGTCTGAATGTATAACTTGCATATTCACTATTGGACAGAAGCCAATCTTTGAAATATATGTAAATAAAAATTATAGTATGAACTTACCTGATTTTACTAGTATAAGTGTTTAGTGTTTTGACCCTTTTCACTGGAGGACTAAGGCTTACTACAGAAGGGTGTGTTAAGTCCCAGATTACCTTCTTTATACAAAGATGGAGTTACTTATGGGTAATAAAGTAAGAGTAGCCTGTTACTTATGATGAATTGTAGATAAATATCTATATTACTTCATTTTCTACCACGATTCAGAAGTAAGCTGAATTCTTAGCACGAAGCATTAACTGGAGAGTTAGAGCTTGATTCTCAGGGTTGTGCTAGGCTAGTTCCCCACTGGTTCCAGTTTTCTACTGGAAAATAGCAGTGGGCTATTTGGTCCCTGAATTCTAACTTCTAGTTCTAAAATTTGAGAGTCATGCCCCCCAAATATATGTGGAGGGTGTCACCCATGTTGGATTTGATGATACGACAACCTTTGACAAAGTTTTTGGAAAAATATCTCTCGGTTCTTCTAACTTAAAAGGAAAAAGCATAGATGTGTTCAATACTTGTTTCTTTTTACTTCAACACTTTCTTCACTCATTTTTCCTCAATTCTTCTTTGTTATGCATGCATTTTTATACATTTTATCATACTAATGTTACAACTTTACCTGTATTCATTTATCTTTTAATTTTTATTTTGGGGTGTGGTTATTTAGAGTCACCACATATAGTTGTCCAGATTGTGTCCTGCACAAATCTAGGGCCACTATTCACATTTTCAGTGAATAATTTCTAAGGCCTTTAAGGACCATTGTGGGGATGGCCAATAATTATTTTATTATTGTAATATTATTTTATTTTAATATTGTGTTACATTTCTTGTAATAAATTTTTAACCTTTGAGTGTTATTATATTAGTAGAGTTCATATGATGAATACACTAGTCTTACTGAATATAAAATAATTCTAACACATTTCCCCCCTCTTACTTACTATCCCCTAACAAAAGTATAATAATCTTGAACTATTTTTTTTAAAATACCCAATTTGGTTAACTTCCTATCATCTGTTTTATTTTTGGAATTATTTAGTGTTGATAAAGCAGATGATGAAGATGATGAGGATTTAACAGTGAACAAAACCTGGGTCTTGGCACCAAAGATTCATGAAGGGGATATAACACAAATTCTCAATTCATTGCTGCAAGGCTATGACAATAAACTTCGCCCAGATATAGGAGGTAAGTTTTTAGTTACCTTTCTGAGATTTGGGGACTATAAAAACCATATTTACTGGTGTTATTTTAATTTTAGATCACATATTTCTTGAGTGTCTGATGTATGTTAGAGTGCTGGGTTTGACAAGTATTAATTGGAATAGCACTAATTTGGGAGGTTCATAGTCTGATGTGAGAATAAAGGCATGTAAACTTTTCTGATGTAATTACTTTACAACTGCTACAATGAAAGATGCAACAGCAAAGTTTAATGAAACTATCTGAGGATTAGAGAGATATTTTATAAAAGAGAATATTTGAGAAATAGGAATTCTAATTTTGTGCCAAAGTCACACTGTGTTTTAATTAATGTAGAATTATAATCCTTGATATTATCCTATATAATAGAAGGATAATAAGCAAATTGTCCCCTCGACCGGGAGTTCGACCAGGGGGTGGGGTCGGCCACCCTACTGCCCAGGGCCCCTCCCCCCGGCTGAACCCCACCCATACACGAATTTGTGCACTGGGCCTCTAGTATTTAGTATAAGTAATCCTACTTTGTTCTACTTTAAGATTGCTATTCTAGGTACTTTGCCTTTATATGTAAACTTTATAACATAATTAACTTCTAAGCCCCTCCACCAAATCCTTAAAACAAACAAAATATATAAAACAACAAATATTATTTTTGAGATTGCATTAAATATATGGCCAATTATAGGGAAATTTAAATCTTTACTTTATTGAATTTTTATCATACCAAATTTTTGAGCATTACATATTGTTCAATGTACATATTTCTTTTTTATTAATATTTCCTGTAAAGAAGTATTAAATATATTTTACTAGATTTAATTCTCTATATTTGGAGTTTCAATGCAAGTGTAAATACATTGCATAAATACATTTCTGTTGATATCAGAAAGCCAGGATATATCACTCATATGTAAAACTTTCTGCACTGTAATTGTGAAAAGCATGTCCTACATATAAAAATGTCCTCAGGAATCATTAACTTCTTGGCATAGAACTATTCAGTCCTTAGTATCATGAAATAAAGAACAGGTAGTCAGTGTTTGTTGATTTATCAAATGAACTGAAAATATCTACTTAAGTAAGACTGGTATGTTGCACTTAATTGCTTATAAATGGTAAGGAATATACTGAGGAGTGAAACTAATAAACCTATTGCCTAGTTATTAATTGACTTTCATAAGAACCATTCTGTAAATCTAGCTATAATTCGCTTAATTGTATTATAGTTATTGGCTGCAATTCATAGCTAGTCAAAATAAATGGCAAGTGGTTAAAGCACCTCCGCTCAGAAGTCATTAGCCTAAGTTAAATTATAAAACCTTCTATAAATCATATGAGCTACTTTTATTTAAGAAATCTAATTGTTGGATAGCAAATCAAATTATACTGTCATGTATAGGTCTGTGAACCTATAGTTTTGTACTGAAACTATTTCTAACAAATCATTTCTTTTTCTAGCTAAGAAATATGTATGCCATAAAATAAATTCGTTGCTAGACAAAAAACAATTTAAATGTTATGGGTTTGTAAGTGTAGTGTTTTTTTTAATTGCAGAGGGAAAGATTAAATGTTGTTATATAATTGTACAGGTGCTGTGTTTCAAAATGCTTCAGGTTTCCCACTGAAGCTTGCTAGCCTGGGAGCATTGCCAGACGGGAAGGTACAGAGACAGGGAGACATGGGACTGAACCCAGACTCAGACAGGCAGACTCAGCCAGGTATTAGAGGAGGAGGAGCATCCTGCAGGGGGAACATAGAATCTGGATTGTAAGAGTGGTAAATACTAGGCCAGGAAGAGAAATCAAAATTTAGAAAGGAGAACTGAGTAAATATTACCAAAAACGTGCTACCTTAGAAACATTTATACTACAAGTTGTGTTTTTCTGCTTTATTTAATTTGCACTATAATAAAAGGGTAATATGCAAATTGACCCTAACTGAAGAACTACCGAGAACAAATGGTCGCTATGATGCGCACTGACTACAAGGGGGCAGATGCTCCATGCAGGAGCTGTTCCCTGGTGGTTGGTGCGCTCCTACAGGGGGAGCTCTGCTCAGCCGCAGGCTGGGCTAACAGCTGCGAGCACAGTGGTGGTGGTGGGAGCCTCTTCTGCCTCCTCAGCAGTGCTAAGGATGTCCAACAGCAGCTTAGGCAGGGAGCTGGCCTAAGCCAGCAGTTGGACATCCCCCGAGGGCTCCTAGGCTGCCAGAGGTATGTCTGACTGCCAGCTTAGGCCCGATCCCCCTGGGAAGCGGGCCTAATCTGGCAAGTGGACAACCCCGGAGGGGTACTGGACTGCAAGAGGGTGCAGGCCGGGCTGAGGGACCCTCCCTCCTCCGAGTGCACACATTTTTGTGCACTGGGCCTCTAGTCTCTTTATAAAACTCTGTGAGATATATATTACATATATAAAATAGATTTTTTCTTACCTACTTTGTGAAACTTTTACAGATATTCCTCAAGAAGCATTTAATATATCATAGAATAAACCATTTATATCATATTTTGTGAAGAAAGGGGGATAAAATAAATTATGTGAGAATGTTTCTCATAGTAAACAAAAATCTTATGAATAGAAATTATCATTATCATTATTATGGTAAATCTCATTATAGGAACCAAAAATACCTGGCAAATGTTGAAAGCCTAAATCATAATCAAATATGGCATGATTATGGATATACTTTAATCATATCATTTGATAGATGTTTATAATACTTACCTGTGCTACACATTTTGATAGAATATAAAATACTGTATATATGACTTAAAGACATACTGAAAAAACACAAATGGTTGTATAAACATGAAGTTCATATGACATTCATAGCATATACTCTGTGAGAATTAAGTAAAAATCTACCTTAAACTGGAGCCAACTATGAACAACCTACAGAAATATTGTTAACATCAAGGGAGGAACAGAGTAAGGACAACAATAGTCTCTAAAATCCATGCAAATTCTAAAATTCTGTGACTGTTATAGAGACAATTATCTAGCAGTTTTTATTGAATTCACTTCCTTAGATTTAATAAATTATTTAGGTATTTTTAAAACATTTTTAGGTTGTGCACTAGGATGTTTTCAGTCAAAAATATACATTGTAAAATCAACTTGTAAACTGAAAGGTGTTTATGTTTCTGTAACATTTTATGTTCCTTCATTTTCTAGTGAGGGATGCTTTATTATTTAAAAAAAATAAATAGTAATACTCATTTAGATTTTTAAAACTAAGTTCTATTTAATGAAACCTCTGATCATGTCCTTGACCATTTTTTCTTTGATGTTTTGCAGTGAGGCCCACAGTAATTGAAACTGATATTTATGTAAACAGCATTGGACCAGTTGATCCCATAAATATGGTGAGTAATGAACATTAAAAAAACAAAACTGTGGCATGGAATTCTTGAGTATATACCTCAGTAATGGAATGAATATGCAAGTATTTCTGATCATTAATTCTTAATCAGTTGAGGGCAATACCTCCAATTCCTATGTGCCAGGTATGAACAACTGGAGCTAAAATATTCCCATAGCTGAGAATGTGTAGCCCTTTACTTCATTGGTAGGAACTATGCTAGGGAAGAAAAGCTTATCATCTGAGCCATCGCGAGTGGATCCCGGAAGAAATCTGGGAGAAGATAAGCAGAAGGA